TGATACTACAACCAAAAAGGAGCCAAGATTGAATCTGTACCCCTACGGAGCTTCAGTGGCTTTTGGTTCTGATTCCTTCACAGTCCTCCTAATCTGTGCCTGTGGTCCCTTCGCCAGTACTGAGATAGGCTAGAGCTTGGAGGAGTGGCTTGTAGTGAAAAGGACTAAGCAAAGGAGAAGTGAGGAGAATATGAGAACAGGACATAGACTTGTCTGGAGATAAAAATGATAGTACTTTACATTGCTAAGGCATTTTACAGTTTACAAAGCATAGTTTGGTGTCAACTGTATTGTTAGTTTCGTGTTACAGATGGGGAAATTGAAGCCACAGGTTACTCAGCTAGCAAGTAGTAGAGAAAAGTCTGGATTCTTAAGTGTTGGTTCATTTTATTGCAGATTCTAGGAACAGCAGGAAAATCGGTAAAACAAACTCAGATAAATTCATACAGTAGAATAGTACACAGCAATAAAAAGGAGTAAATGTGGGTGAAAACCAGTAACATGCTGAGTGGAAGAAGCTTTACACTCACTTACACAAAAAAACTTTTGTAAAGATACAGAACAGACAAAACTAATCAGTGAGTTGAAGTCACTGGTAACAAGTATAGTGATGACTACAAGTTATTTTGAGTTGCATCAAAAAAATATAAAATGGATAGTGGGATGGATAACATAAGCAAGTATTATAAAATGTTAATTATAGAATTTAAGTGGTCAGTATATGAGAATTCACTGTACAGGTCTTTTAAGTGTTCATAATATAGTATTAGAAAAAATAAGCTGTTCATTACTTTTAGTGGTTTTGAAAATAATATGTGTGAACAGAAATAATTTTTTTTCCCCCAAGAAGAACACAGTGGCAGCAGGAGCTGGTAAAAGACTGAATAATACGTGAAATACTGCCTTTGGAACTCGTTAAAAATACCTTTGCATGTTATCTGGGAATATAGCCCCACTTAAAGCCAAGACTTAATCAAACCAGAATTAGTGGGATTGACTGGGGAGTAGGATGAAGGACCCTCCTGGAGTGATGTGGTTAGCATCACATGAGTAAAACTGTTTACCAGATCTCAGTGAATTGCACACTTCATGTCTGCATTTCATTATGTATAAATTTTACCTTCAAAGCCAAAAAAAAACCTGAGTAATATATTGAATTCCATTTAATTATATGCATGCTTAATTGTTTAGGGATGAAGTATACTGATATCTAAAAGTTATTTTGAAAAGAATGAAAAATATAAAAGGAATTGAAGATAGGTAATAGATCTGTGATATAAAGCAAATTGTAGAATGTTAATCGTGAAATCTAGGCTATCAGTATATGGGGATTCACTGTACAATTCTTCTAACCTGAAGGAGAAAAAGACAAGGAACTAACTCAATCATCTGTATAAATACTGAATAAACTAAGAATTATTACAGGAGAAAGGAGCAGTGAGTACACCTACTGCCCACATCTTGGTCTCTAATACCACTTCCCAGTAAGAGAAACTGGAACTTCTTGGAGGCAGATTCCAGATAAAAGTATTGTTCCACTGTAAATTTATGAAGTTGGTAACTGAACTGAGGTTTTGTAAGAGAATTTCATTTTCTTAGGAAATACTCACTGAATTATTTAGGGATAAAAGGCCATAATGTATGTATGATTCAGAAAAAATATGCATATACGTGTGTGTGTGTGAGATTTTGAGTAACAAAGCAACTGGGATAAGATGTCAACAGTAGGTAAATCTGGGTAAAGCATACATGGGTGTCCCTTGTACTTTTTAAACTTTTTGTAACATTTGTAAGTTTGAAATTACTTTCTCCCAAAAGATAATGACAGGAATGGTGCTGGAGAGAAACACAGGGAGATCCACTTAGCTAAGGTTTTGAACTGATATACTCTGTGCTGTAAGGGCAGGATAAGCAGCAGGTCATGTTTAATTTTCCAGTCTTCCAGTGTTACATTTCCACCTTGATATTTAAACCTTGTTCCTTGTTTTTGGCACAGTGATATTTCATTTTTAGGTTTTGGGTTTTTTGTTTTTTTGTTTTGTATTATCAGTGTTTTGCTCCTGCAACTATAACATTTTCTTCATTGAACTTTGTAGGTCTGTTTAACTGAACTATTTATCTTAACCTTAGTTTTCGCTAGACTGTCAGAGCATCCATCAGATAACCCTTGAAGTGTGGGAATTTTTCTTTCTCTACTTTTTAAAAAACAGGTTTATTAGAATATAATTCACCCATTCAAAGTATACAGATCAGTGGGTTTTTTAGTATATTCACAATCAAATTTAGAACATTTCATCATTGCAACAAGAATCCTCCTACCAATTAGCAATCACTCCCCACTTACCCTTTTCCAATTACTGATTTACTTTTTGTCTCTGGATTTGCATGTAAACATAGTCATTTATTATGTGGCCTTTTGTAGGTGGCTTCTTTTTACTTTCAGGGTACATCCATGTCATAGTATATGTCAACTTCATTCCTTTTTTTATTTTATTTTTTTGCTGAGTAATGTTCGTTTGTATATATATACCACATCTTACTTAGCCATCTATCAGTTGGCTGACATTTGGAGTGTTTCCATTTTGGGGCAGTTACGTTGCTGAAAAACCGGCCTCTGTACCCTAGTAGCCGGATTGAGAGTCAGAGGCAAAGTTTGGGGAGGAGAGAAAAAGAACAGCTTTATTGCTTCACCCAGCAAAGCAGGTCACAGCAGGCTCATGAACCTAAAAGACTGCGAGCCCGTCTTGGGATTGGGGTCTTGAGGTTTTATAGAAAAATTGAATGGAACAGAAAAAGGTGATAATGGTCCAGATGTGAGCAGGGGCTACATTCCTTTCATTTTGACAAGAACTTGCTGTTGTTATGGAGGAACTGAGGGTCTGCCCATTTTCTTGGCAGTTCATTCCATGACCTTCTTTCAAGACCTCTAGGATAGAAGGATGTTATTATATAAAAAAAAAAAAAAGTGCACAGGGAGGGAAGCCTGTGTTTAGCTGGAAGTACAGGCTGAACAACTCAAGAGCCGTCTTGTTAGTTTCCTACTCTTTCAGTTATGCTGTGGAATAATGCTGCTGTGAATAGTTGTATACACGTTTTTGTATGAATATATGTTTTTATTTCTTTTGTGTATATAACTAAGGGTCAAATTGCTGGGTATATTCACTCTGTTTATCTTATGAACCGCCAAACTGTTTTCCAGAGCATCTACTTTATGTTAAATTCCCACCAGCAATGCACAAGAGTTTCACTTTGTCTATATCTTGGCCAACATTTGTTATTATCTGTCTTTTTTATTATAGCACCCTAATAGGTGTAAAATGGGCCTTTCTATTCTTTTAAACTCTAAAAATATGATCGGTTCTCAGTAATAAAATGATCCCCACCCTTTTCTAGCAGCAAGCCTGTCTCTTTATTAAATATGGAATACATAAAATAAGTGGAAATAAGATAATGTAAGAAGAACTCTTCCCATTTATTTGTTAGTACTTCAGAATTATTTGGAGAGAATCTCAGAGAAATCCAATCTCTAAAGAGAGATTGGGTTTTTAAAAAGTAGTACTGCTAGAACTCAATTTTTAAATGCCCATTATAGACAGATACACATTTAGCACCTGACCCCGAGTCTGCCGTAATCATTGATGCTACCGATCATTGCCACTTTAATCTCCAAAGTGGCTTCAGGGGCCCTTCCTCACCCTCACCGTAGCACAGAGCCCATCGTTGGCTTTCCTTTGGGAGCTCAGAGCTTCTGTGAGTATTGGTTCTCCACCATATAGATTAAACTGGACTTTGTGGGCTCATTTGAGGTCTGACCATTAATTTTTAAAATAGTTTCTATAGGAAAAATATGGCTTTTTTTTTCAGCCCACCAGCTTACAAATGACCATTTTGTAACTTGATTTTAAGTTGGTGACTCTCTCTGTCCATGAGGAAAGACAAAATAAGCTGGAGTTATTTAATCTGATGTCAGAAAGCTTTATGTTGACTTAAAGACATCCTCATGGATTCTAACTTTAGCTCAGGATTATTCTCTTTATTTTAATTGCAATTTTTTATGTTCTTAAATTGTATTTTATTGCCACAAGTGGGAATTAAGTGGAGGTTGAATTTAATTTTGGAAGTATATGTGTGTATATTTATCAAAGAAAGTAGAAAGAAAAATAGTATTTCTTTCTCTCATACTTTGTTTCACTATAACAAAGGAAGGTGCTCTTAGTTTCAGCTCTCCTAAAAAGCCAGTTTTTCATGTTTGAGATGTACATCCACATTCATAGTTACTTACATCATGTTTTATCTTCCTGATCAAATTTAACTGACCTTTAAATAATTGTTACAGGGGTTTTGATTAAAATCTGATCAATATAAGAATCATTTATATGTGATTTTTTTTCTTAAATGGAACTGTAATAGTTATAGATTAATTCAGTAAAGCACTCAATGTCCTTTTCCCTAAAATGCATGCATTAATACCACTTCTACTGATCATCCACACACAGTATAATCATAGGCAACTTCCTTTTTAGTCTATAAAAAGTGAGGGTAGTACCCTCTTTTCACCACTCATTGCACTGTAATAGTATGATGTCTGTCAAATGTACATATGTTTTTATTCCTTCCACCCTCCCTCCCTTCCTTTTCCCTTTCTTTGCTTTCCTTTTTTGTTTGTTTAGGTTTTGAATAGAGAAAAGACTGTTGGCAGAAGGTATTCCCTAGATGTACTATTTTGACATATCAGAATAACAGCACATACTGGGCTTTTGGGTCACACTTGCCTCAGGGGTCCATCAGCTATGAAGTACTGATGTCCTTCCTGTGCAAGACTAATTAGGCCTTCAGGTTCATGCTGTTACCTCTGTGGAGGTTCCTGGCTATGCTAAAGTCCAAAGTTTGACCTGAACATTTCCAGTTAACATTCTCTTTGTCAGGGGACCATGAACTTCCCCCCAGTTAAAATATGAACTGTCGTTTTGGTAATTTCTTTGTGTGTTGAATTCTTACAGCTCTCCACACAAGGAGATGCAAGTCAGGTGATTGGACCTCTTACCGAAGGGCAGAGGAGAAATGTGGCAGTAGTGAATTCACTCTATAAGTTGCACCAATCGGTAACAAAGGTACCCTTTAATCTTTATTTTAATTAAGTTCTTCTTATGTAACTTTAAATTCTTCTTTCTTCTCCTCAAATTTAAACAATTATGAATTATTAATTTTTTGCAGAAAGATACAATGAAAATGTGATTGTAAAATAAGCTGAGGAATGAACTCTTTCTAAACAGTCTTTGACCTAGGCCTTTATTATTTGTATAACTTTTTGTCTATACATTTAGTTTAAAGCTCGTGAACCATAGATCCTCAAGTTTGCTTGGTATAATCAAGTTTCTTGAATAAATGATTTAAGGGTAAATTACATGTATTTTATCCATACTAAAAACAAATAATTTGATATCATATGGGTGATAGTAAGTTATAGCAAAGCTTAGTAATGGAATAAGAACTTGAAAGCCCTCTAACATATCAGAAAGGTACTATCTTTGCACAAAAATGGTGGGGGTAAGATGCGTTACAAACAGTGAACTCTTGTTATATAATCATTGAAGACTACTTGTAAGTAGAAAATATTTGTTGTTGTTGTTCTACTAATGCATTTTTTAAATGACTGAATTTTAACCTTTTTGTCTTCTTATATTAGATCTAAGATGAACTGTAAACATAATTATTAGGAAAGCAACATTTTCAACCCCATCTTTGATTTTTGAATCACTTTGCTCTCTATTGATGATTTGCAAAAATATTTAGTAAGTAGGGAAGTAATTAGAAGACCTGAAGGAAGCCAGAGGTTAGGTGATGTTCTTAAAAACTTGACTTCTAATATGAGCTTTTATATGCTAGATAATATTTTAGAATAATTATAAGTGACAATTATTCATTTATTTAAAAATTCTAACAAGTCCTTTTATCCATTAGAGGTTTCAAAAAAGTGTGTATTTTGCACACTGAACAAAATATATTTTAAAAGGTTATTAACAGCTAAATCTCAGAAAAGTAAATAACAAAAGTAAATAAAAAGAATAAATGATACATTTTCAATTTCCTTTCATTTTTACTCTAAAACACCATAAGCAATGAAAAATTGTATTTATTTAGCCTTATTTAAATGTCTTTATTGATACTTTCAGAATTGTCATAATCTTGGTATTGATTTGTAAAAAGGGAAGTGGTTGACATTTGTATTTTAAAGACGTGTTAAAAATTATAGTCAGTCTAGAAAAAAGTGAATTTTTAAAAGAAGTAAATATGGCTTTTGACTGGCCTTTTCAAATTAAAACTGTATTAAAAACTATTAAAGTACATAAAAGAAAGCTAGCTCTTAGAGTTCTTAATGTTTCAATTATTTGAAGTAGTTATTTGCTTTACACAGGAAAACATTTTTTAAAACTATCCTAACTACTAAATACTAATGGGTTTTTAAAATATACCTGAGATACTACTCTAAGGTAAAAAAACAAAACAAACAAACAAAAAAAACTCTTTTATGTGTGGCTTGTAGAAAGTTTTATGTTATGATCAAAGTTAATATTTATAAAAATAAATGACTTAAACTATAACTGAATTTGTTCTAGGTGGTTTCCAGTCAGAGCTCATTCCCACCAGCAGCTGAGCAAACTATAATTTCAGCCCTAAAGGTAAAAGAATTTGACTTAATTTTTGGCTCTATAGATCAAAGAGTTTTAGAATTGTTTGGATGAGTGGGAGATGTCATATTTGTAATTCAGAATCTTCTACATATGCCAAAAGTAGCTTGTTGATAATTATCCTAGGGAGAGAGGCTACATGTGTGTTTATATTTTCTAGAGTTTAAAAATAGACCCTGTTGGTGTCTACAGATTGTGTTCCACATAGATAATTGTATCATAAGCAAGAAAAGCAAGAGTCTTATAAGTATTCATTATATCTTAGGGCAGTACAGCCCAGTATTATCCCAGTAAAGCGGTAGCTCTCCACCAGGGTGACTTTGTCCCGTGCAGGGCATTTAACAATATCTAGAGACATTTTCGATTGTTGTGACCAGGAGTAGGGTGCTGCTGGCATCTATTGCCAAGGCTCCTGTTAAACATCATGTAGTGAGTAGGACAGCCCCCCACAACACAGAATTATCAGACCCAAAATGCCAGTAATGCCAAGGTTGGGAAACTAATGTGTATCTCTAAGGTGGGAAACCAGAGGAAATTCCCATTTTTAAAAATATACTAACATAAATATACCCCCTGTCAAGCACTCAGGAAGTTTAATAAAAAATGATTTTGGCGTGAGATTCAGAGCTATATATAGTTCCCAATAGGTAACTCTTTATAAATAAGCAAATAATTCATTCTTATAATAGTAATAGATACCCTTTGTTAGTCACATGCATTATGCTGAAATGTTATGGCAACTGTTCAAGTTATGTATTATCCCCATTTTTTTACAACATTTTATACAATATCCTGATTTTATATAATTACTTGCTCAACGTCATATAGCTGGTAAACCTAGACCTCACTGACTCAGAGGAGTGATATCTACTACACCTTGCCACCATCATCCACTCATTCATTTACTAATGTTTATTTAGTACTTAGTATATAGTAAAGCAAAGACTCGGGAGCTAAACTCTCTCTGTAAATGAAATCTGTCTCAGCTATTTAACTAGCTGTACGACCTCAGACAAGTTAGTAAGTTTTCTCTTGCCTTAGTTTCTCCGTCTGTAAGATGGTACAATATACCTAAACAGAGGTAATAAATGTCAACTGTTAAGCTGAATTTAGATCACTTGGGTAGAGCTGAGAGAGAGAGAGGGAGAAGGGGGAGAGAGAGAGAAAGAGAGAGAGAGATGGTCTACCAGTAAACTCAAAGGAGAAATAATTATATTTAGAGAGTAAAGAGGATACAAATAAAGAACAGTCAGAGAGAGGAAGAAAATTGGGAAAGGACAATGTCACACTGAGGGAACTTTTGAGGTGAAACGCTCCATCAGTGACATGGATGGGGACTTAACAGCCGCAAACCTTAAGGACACTGCATTCATACCTGACGTAGGAGGAGATGGTCTGTTTTCCCACGACATGGTAAAAGTACACTTGGATGTCTCCTCTGTATCCTTTTCTTTTTCCAAGCATGCTTACCTCATTACGATGAAGTATTATTAAAGCTGCAATAGTAAAAACGATTGTTTTTAGTTAAGAGTTGTCCAATTTATTGATAATCATAAATATACTATAAAATTGGGCCATTAAGACAAACCAAAAGGTCTTAACATTCTCGCTTCCAGGCAGGGAATACATGCAGTCTTTTCTGTACATGGTTCCACATTTTGTCTTTTAACAGTAGCTGTCAAACATTACTTGATCACTACCCAAGATAAATAAGTTTTAGTTTGTATCCCATACATAATGCATAAGCATTTATATATTCACACATATAATTGTATATATGTAGAATGTGCATCTATGCACATTTCTGTAATTGAAATAAAGATTTCACAAAACAGTACTTTTCCTTATTTTGTGCAGTGATTCTGATATTTTCTGTACTCATCTGTTACTTTTTAAAACGTTATGATAATGATCCACTGAATTGAGTTTTTGACCCCCTAATAATCACAACTGATGGTTTGAAAACGTCCATTTGGTAGGTTAAGAAAGAGTGCTTACACCGTGCCTGGTGGTAAAAGTCTCCTGGGCAAGTTAAAAATAGAAATTCTTCAGACACTATAATTCATTATAAGGTGGACTTTCCAAATCTGCGTTTTTAACATACGACAGAGGTTATTCCTCATGTTAGTTACTTTGGGCTGAGAGTTGAGGCCAGCGCAGTTAACATTGTCCTGATGTTCTGAGCTCTCGTTCTGAGCTTTGCTCACCAGGACTGGTGTCCCACGTCCCAGGGTGCTGCAGTTTGCCAAGACACCGGCACTTGTGCCTCAGAACTGGGTGAGAGAAGACGAGCAGTCAGTCCGAGGCCCTCCTGCAGTGACCCTGCCCATTAGAGACGAAACTGCCTGTGTTCACAGACCTCAGTGAGACAGTTTTGGCCATGCGTTTCAGTTACATCTTGTTAAAAATCATTGTGGCATAAGTGAAGGACAAACAAAACCCTTGGACTCAAAGGAAACAAGAATCTTGAATTTCATAAAATTATTATCATACCACTTTGAATTAGGGATAGAATGTTATGATACATCAATGACTGTAGCCCAAGAACCAAAAATCTATTATTTGACAGAAAAGATTTAATTTTCATTTGAATTTATATATTATTGTATTATTTAATTATTTTATTTTGGCAGGGGAGGGGTAAGTAGGTTTATTTATTTTCAAAGGAGGCACTGGGGATTGAACCCAGGACCTCATGCATGCTAAGCATGTGCTCTACCACTTGAGTTATACACTCCCCCTGACAGAAAAGATATTAAACATACTCTTTTACTTACTAAAAAATATAGGTAAAGACACATAATAGTCTTTTCTTCTCAACCTTATTGACATTTTATCCAAAATTAAATTTTAATTTACGTTCAAAGTTTATCATCTCATATTGTGAGCATTATCTACTGTGTCTTGGATGGCATAATTCATGTTAATGATTATACAGTCAGAGTCATTTAATTAGAACCACCTCAGCTATGAGTAGCATTTAAACAGCTTGGCCCAGTGATTCTGACTGAGATTGTCTTGTCCAGATAGTGATTGTGTTGCTAAATTTATGTATGACAGTTCTTCCTCATTGTGTGGGTTTGATGTTCTGTATGAGGGAATATTCCAGATTGTTGAGATTTCAGTATCTTCATCATCTCAGCTATTTTAGGGATATCTTTTAACAATGTATGACACACTTCCCTGCTTTGTAAAGAGCTTGTGAAATAAAATCTAATCTGCGTTCTCAGTTTCCTCCGGGGGTGGTTAACCCTCTACCCACCCTTTACATGAAGGCTTTCCCCAGGATGCTCTCTTGTCTGCTTTGTGTTTTCCCTAAGTGGGAAACCTCGCCTGGCTGTGAAGTTTCCTGTCTACACCATCATGTCGTACACAGACAGGGGCAGTTTGGTTCTTCCTTTCTGGTCTTTACGCCTGTTTTCCATGCTTGTTCCACCTGCTAGAACCTCTAGTACCACGCTGCATAGAGCTGGTGGAAGTGGACTTGTTGACTTGTTCCTGACCTCGGAAAAAACACTCAGTGTTTCATGACTGAAAGTAGAATGTTTTCTTAGATGACCTTTATCAGATTGAACAAGTCCTCTTCTCTTCCTAGTTTACTGAGGCTTTTAAAAAAATTATAACTGACGTTCCATCAGATATGTTTTTGTCTATTGAAATGATCATATGTTTTTACCTCTTTATTCTGTTAATAAGATACTTTACAGGAATTCATTTTCAAATATCAAACCAACTGTGGTCTTGTAGCATTACCCTGTTTCTGTGTTCCTGGATTGGGTTTACTTAATTTTTGTTAAAGATGTTTGCATCTGTAATTATAAGGGGCATTGGTATGTGGTTTTCTTTTTTGGAATTCTTTGTCTGGCTTGTGAAGTGTTTCCTCCTCTTCTGTTTTCTGGAGGAATTTGTGTAGAATTTGTGTTGTTTTCTCCTTAAGTGCTTGGTAGAATTCACCAGTGAAGCCATCTGGGCCTATGGTTTTCTTTGTAGGAAGTTTTTAACTACAAATGTGCTTCATTTAATAGATTCAGGGCTATTCGGGTTATCTGCTTCTTCTTGAGTGAACTTTGATACTTCGTGGCTTCCAAGGTATTTACTTGTCTGTTCATCTAAGTTATCTAATTTGTCAGAATAAAGTTGTACATAACATTCTCTTACTGTCTTTGTAATGTCTTTAGAACCGATAGTGATAATGTCTTTTTTATTTTTTATGTTGATGATATGTGTTCTTTTATCTTTTTTTTCTTTAGCAGTCTAGCTAAGGGTTTGTCAGTATCATTATTCTTTTCTTTTGGCTTTATTAATTTCCTCTACTGTTTGTCTTTTTATTTCACTGATTTCTGCTTTTGTCTTTTATTTCCTTATTTTGGATTTTCTTTGCCTTTTTTTTCCCCCAGTATTTTTGAGACCTTATACCACGGATTTTTAGACCTCCCCAACCCCCACCAAAGAACATTTAAAGTTGTAAATTTCCTTCTGAGCACTTTAATTTTGATATATTGTGCTTTCATCATAAGTAGTTTGAAATATTTTTTATTTCTTTTGTCATTTTTTTTTGATTCATGGGGTTTTTAGAAGTTTTTTTAATTTATGTTTGCTTGTGGTTTTTCTAGATACTGATTTCTAGTTTAATTATTACCATCAGAAAACATATTCTGTATTATTTCAGTTCTTTTAAATTTATTGAGTTATTTTGTGGCCCAGCATGTGGTCTGTCTTGATGAATGAACCATGTGTGCTTGACAAAAATGTGTATCTGTAATTGTTCAATATTATGTTCTATAAATGCCAGTTAAGTCAAGGTGTCATGATATAGTCAGATCTTCTGTGCCTCTCCTGATATTTTATGTATTTGTTCTATCAATTCCTGAAAGACAGGAGTTACACTTTTCTGTGATCGTGGACTTGCTTATATCTCCCTTTAATTCTGTCAATTCTTGATGCCTCAGTTCTGAAGCTATATTTCTAGTTGTTATGAGGCTCTGTTACATATATATTTATCATTTTTTATGCCTTCCTGATGAACTGACCCTTTTATCATTATGAAATACCCTTCTTTAGCTTTGTTAATTCTTTTTTTTTTTTTTTTTTGGAGAGTAAGGTTAGTGGGTGGAAGGGGAAGATACAGAAATAAACTAGCCTGTGTGTTAATTCTTATTGTTCTACATTCTGTTTTATCTGATATTAATTTAACTACTCCAGCCTTCTTATGTTTAATGTTTAGATAGTGTATGTTCTTCTATCCATTTACTTTCAACTCCTCTGTGTTTTTATTTTCAAAATTTATCCCCTGTAGACAGGGTATATTTGGTCTTGCCTTTTTGTCTGTTCTGATAATGTCTGCTTTTTAATTGAAATGTTTAGCCTAGTAACCTAATACAGTTATCATTAAAGTTCTATTTAGGTGTATATTTTTATTTTTTGTTTGTCCCCCCCCCTTTTTTTTAACTTTTTTTTTTTTGGAGGAGGGAGGTAATTAGGTTTATTTATTTATTTATATTTAGAGGAGATACTGGGGATTGAACCCAGGACCTTGTGCACGCTAAGCATGCGCTCTACCACTTGAACTATACCCTCCACTACCCTCTGGGTTTTTTTATTTTCTCTTTTCCTCCGTTTCTGCTTTCTTTTGGATAATTTGAATTGTTTTTCAATTTCTTTTTAATTTATTTCTTAGATTTTTGCCTATACCTCTTTTCGTGATTTTTTTTAGTTATTTCTCTGTTGATATAAATATCCTTAACTTTCCACAGTCTTTGAAAGTTAATATTATACTGTGTCATGTAAAATATAGAAACTTTGCGTTTATCAAAGTACATTTACATATAACCTGCATGTAGTGTAATTTCTTCGGTTTAAAATTTCTGTTTTGGTTCTTTTTTACATTCTATCACTCTGCTGAGATTTTCTCTTATTTATTATGAGCACTGTTTTCTTTACTTCACTGAGGTCATTGTCTGATAATTGTAGAGTCTGGGTCATTAAAAGATTGGCAGCTATTGATTGTCTTCTCCCTTTAGAATTGATAACATTTCCTAGCTTTTTGTGTGTAATCATTTTTAATATATCCTAGACAATATAAATGTTACATTGTTTAGACTCAGTATTTTTAAAATATTACTCCTCAAAGTGTTGATGATTTCTTTAGCAATTACTTAGCTTGTTTAGACTCAGGCTTTACACTGTAAACCTATAGTTGGCCATGCCTCAGGTCTCAGTACAGTTCTGGAAGCCTTAGCTGTGAGCCATTTGTAGTTTGCGTTGCACATGCGTGGTTGGTGAGTCAGCTGAAGACTAGTGCTGCGTTTACATGGAGAAGCAGGCATCCTTCTGGCTGTCTCCTTTCTGAAGCTCCCCTCTGACTCTCCAGTATCCCTAGTTGGACCAGGGCTCCTTGCCCTTGTTCCTTTGGCCTGAAAAGCCGCAGGTTTTGTTTTGTTTTGTTTTGTTTTTCTCTGAGAGTTTTAACCCCCCAGCCTTGGTACTGCCATGACTGTAGTCACTCTTAGAGCAAAGTCATGAAACAACGGAGAACTCACTCTCTTCTATTGCTTGCTGTGGATTTCCACACTCTTCTAAAACTACCTGCTTTTCCCCCCACCTCCAGGAGTCTCCAGTAGGTTTTTTGGTTTGTTTTTAGTATTTTTTTCATAATTATTTATAGGAGGATCTGCAGTAGGCATTCACTCCTTCATACCAGTGTAGAAAATTTGCCCTTCCTTCTTGGAATCTTCTTGTCTGTTTATTTCCACCGTACTCTGAGGTCTCTTCTTATTTCTCTACACAGTGGCAAAGTATTAACAAAAGCTCACTGAGTCAAATACACCTTGAAAATCCAAGCTCTTCTGCTTGATGGCTTTGGACAATCTCCTTAGCTTGACTTGAGTTTCCACATTACAAATTTCTTTAGATTCCACATCAATAAATTAGATATTTTAGTAATTTTTAAAGGAAGGAATAACTGAGTTTTCAGTGGAATGATCCTATGTGAAGCACATAGCTCAGTATCCAGCACATACAATATACTAAATGAATGCTATCACCCTTCTTAACCCTTAAGGGCTCCTCTTCTGTGTGACCTTAAAATGGCATTTGGCCTCACTGTCCAAACCATCCTTTGGGATCTCATTGACTCTTTGGACCTCCACTCCTCTCTTAAAAGCCAGAGACTACCAGATCTAGTGCGAATGTGTCAGAAACCACAACTGTAAGGATCTTAGGACCTGCTGGATGGCCTGTATGGATTTCTCACAGGCCCTTCAAACTCATATTCAAAACTAAACTCATTTTCTCCCTCCATCTCTGCATCACGCCACTGCTTCTGCATTTACACATTCAATTAATAATACCACCAAGTAATTAAAGAAAAAATGTTAATGTACCCTTAAATCTTTGCAGTCCATATTTCTCAGATTTGCTCGTCAAGTGCTGCTCTTCTCCCTCAGACCACCTCCAGCCTGTCTCCTCATCTCCACTCCTGCTCCCTCTGACTTAGGTCAGGCACTCACCTGACCTAAGTCACTCAGTAGTCTCCTTTATCCAGCCTACTGTCCGACATGATTTTTCCCAAATTCAGGTCCTTAACCACATTTTTTTTTCATTGCTTAAAACCCAGCATTGGTTTCCCATCCCTTCAGGATAAATTCCCATCTCCCTAGCAACCTGCCCAGAGTACATCTGCTGTCTGTCTCTCTTTCACAGAAGCAGGCGTCTCATACTCTGTTGATCGCTTTGCAGTTCCCCAAATGCATCAGTTTTCCCAGCTCCTGTGTCTCTGGCATGTGCTCTCCCAGCCTCATCTCCGCTCCCCCCGCCATTTGGTTCTTACCTATTTTGGCTTTTGAAATTCAGTTAAAGCAACACCTTTTATATTTAAATTTTAAGTCCCCTCAGTATAAGCTGGAGGTCTCCCCTGTTCCCATAGCACTCTGCAGAGGACTGATATCACCACGACTTGTTAACCTGTTACCCCCAGAATTTGAGCTCCCCGGCGGCAAACTGTATATGTTCCCCTCCACCTCTCTATTTGTCTCAATCCTATATGCATATGTTTATTTTTATCAGCGACTAGGGGCTAGAGATGGCATTTAGGAATTTAATGAATAAGGGTCCTATTTAACCTTTTCTTACTGATTTCGATCATTTAAATGAGCTGAAGTCATCCATTATATGTAATCATTATTGAAGCATATATAATATACTTAAAATTTAGATTTTGAGTGTTTATTGAGAACCAGTCAATATTTTCACACTTAAAAACCCGTAACTGGGGGGAGGGGTAGGATATAGCTCAGTAGTAGAGCGTGTGCTTAACATGGTCCTGGGTTCAATCCCCAGTACTTCCGTTAAAAATAAATAAACCTAATTACCTCCCCCTACCCCAAAACCTCCCTCCATAACTAAGGCCAAGGGTCTTATATAAGCTAACCAGTGATTACACCTCAGAGCAGGACAGTTTCTCAGCCTTAGCACTACTGACGTTTTAGGCCGGCTGGTTCGTTGCTGTGGGGGACTGTCTTGTGCGTTGTAGGACGTTTAGCAGCATCTCTGTCCTCTACCCACTAGATGGTGTCAAACGCCTCCCCCACCCCAGCTGTGACAATCAAAAATGTCTCCAAACATTGCCAGATGTCTTCTGAGGAGCAAAATTGTCCCTGGTTGAGAACCACTGCTGTAGAACGCTGAATAGAGACTTAATCCACGAAATGCCTGACTGTTAGTTACCCTGTAAGAGTTCCTCGTATATTTATTACATTCAGTCTGCTCAGAAGCATGTAATGCGGTTCTAGTTTTGAAGAATTACTTTTGGTCTTGCTTCACTCTTTTCAGAAACCTTAAAAAAAGTGTTCGTATGGTTTTTACTTCGTAGGAGCCACCATGACTCCTTTGTCTAGGGGATCATTTGAGCATTAAACTTCCTGAGAAAAGTGAGGGAGTTAAAATTTTTCAGTGCCATGTTCCACATATTTCATGCTTTAAAGATCATTACTGACAGCAGCTAGGAGAAGAGCAGGCTTCTGTTGAGTTATTACGGTTAAACTGTATGCAGTCTGAGTTTGATACAATATGAAAACTTTTAGTCAGAATGCTTCTCACACCTCGGATTTCCTTGTGTTGGTCTTTTAAGATTTTGCCTCTCCTAATTTCATCTTCTTTCCAGGGGATCCACGCTCTCATGGGAAGTGCCGTGCAGCCCTTACTGACTTCGGTGGGAGATGCTGTAGAGGCCATAATCATCACCATGCATCAGGAAGATTTTTCTGGGTAATAATTCCAACCAGAATTTTCACTAACCTTTATTGCATTTGCTTTTCATTCCCACCTCCACCCCTACTCCCTCAGTCTTCTACCATGTAGGACCTTGTTCCTCTTGGGATGGGGTCGGCCTTCAACCTTATCCTACTCTGTTCACTGTGCACCATTAGCAGGTTACAGTTTTTAAGTTTTTGCTTTCATCATTTCTTTCCTGTCATTAAAACAGAATCATTCACATCTACTGGACTCAGCTTGGCACTTGAGGACTTTTGGTAGATGGTACTATTCTCCTTTGCAATTTTATCTTTTTCCTTACTTCTCACACGTAGCCTGTCCTTGAGCCTCTGGTATAGGCATGGGGTTCCTTGTATAACGTGTGCTGCCTCTGCCCCTAGGCTGGTCCCGTTCCTGCTCTGGCTTTGAGGGCAAGCTTCTGCCCAGCCCCTCAAAGATGACTTTCCTTTCTCAGCATCTGTGGCAGTCTAATCTGGCCTTACCGCTCCTAGCCATAAGCACTTTGGTATTATTTCAAAGCTGTTTCGTATGTGTGCCGCATATCCATGTTACATGTGTTTTGAGAATACGAATCATAGTTCCTAGCTTAGTGTTTACTGAAATCTTTTTAAGTAGAGTAAAATGGTTTTGACTGACTATTTTAGAAATCTGTCTGTAGAGAATTTGAAATAGTTATTTGCACATGCTTAGAGTGATTTAAAAAAATTTAACCATACTTCAGAACTAAACATTTATACATTAATGTACAGATATGTGTTTTATATTCCTAGTTCATGGTTAGTTACTATTTTTGACTGTCCTGTTTCTCTTTATATTCATGTTGTTGAACAGAGTATCTTTATTAAATTTCCAGTGACTTGTCTGGCTATTTGTAGAAAAATTATGAGATGATTACACTGTCTTTTAATTTTTCAAATCATTTATTATTTCATTTACAAATTATCTTTTGAAAGGTGAAAGGGTCAGTCTCTGCTTTTAACGGTGGTATGAAGCACAGAAGGATAAAGTGGATTTACACAAAAGTGCTGTAGTATTTGGGGACAGGAACATAAAACTGCTGATTACAGCATGTGGGAGGAAATGAATTTTGTTCAAAAGAGATCTGAAATGTCCCAGTTAGACCAATCATGAATGCCCCTGAAAAAGAAGCAAAAATGATGTAATTTTTGAAGGCTTGTGCTGGTGAGAGTGGTCAGATACTAACTTTGGTGATTGTAATGGTGAGCCATGACTAGGAATAACACCTTAGACATTAAAAGTTGGTTTCCAAAACAGATACGTTTTTGTTAGTTTGCTTAAATACCAGTGAGCCAGGTTGGTTCTTTATCTCATAGTTTGCCACGGGTGTGAAGCATTGTTTTAAGGTATATAAACATCGTCCTTAATCTTTTTTCCCCCAAATGGCCATTAATGGCTCCGTTTCAGCTCGCTCTCTGTAGGCAGCAGACATTTGAGATTCCACTGAAAGCCATTTTCCACACTTGGCAGCAGAGGAGTGTGGCGCTCTGCCACTTTATAGCGTATTTAAAGCATTGCTCTCCTGGCAGTAATTTTATCACTTTCTAGACCCTTGTTACTAGTAACTCTGCCATGTCATTTCACATATGTATGGCTTATGTGAAATCTAAGATGAAATGGGATTAAACTATTCAGGAAGCAGGAATTACTTTTATCATCAAGCCAGGCTCCAGGGGTCACACTTGGAAAAATAATAGTATCTGCCCTTGCAAGCCCTCTCCACCTATTCTAGGTAAAAGGAGTGAAAATCAGATTTACCTTCTAGGTCAACTTCACATGTAGTCTGGTTGCAGAATCCCTTGCTATTTAAAAAGTAGTCCCCAACACTGTTTCCTGGTATTTGAAATGTATTTAACAGGACCAGTTTCTTTCTTTCCAGGTTAGATAAGGCTTAAAATGTACACGTCTGACTGACATAGTACGTTGATTAAAATTCTTTTATTTCATGTGAAATGACTCCTGTCCAATTGCAGCTTTGACAGGGGGAGGGAGGGCAGTGAAAGGAGGAGGACCCGAGATCCTCCAAGTGGGGGGTGAGCCTCTCTGAGGTGGGGAGAGCACACGCCCCCCAGAGCGACCGGTGGCCGCTTCTCAGGCATCATTGTTTGGTCCTCCCCACCTCAGCTCCTGTGTGCAGACTCTCATTCCAGAGCCTTTAGATTTCCGCTCAACTTCCTACCGCGCTCGATCTATCAGTTGAGAACTGATAAAGCTTTGGCATTATTGGGGAAACTGAGCTTTAGCAATTGCCAGGCAAGTGTCATGTTCTAGTAAATTTTAATCAAGCTTCTGATACATGCCAAGAATTGATAATACGTATTTCAGACTTTTGTCTAGTTGATTTTACTTATATTATTAACACGTGCTTATGAAACTTGTTTTAGTATGTTATTTTCTAATCCTGCGAGAAATCATATCAACTGGCTAGATTAAAGTTCTTGAATCAGTCCTCCAGAACAATACCAAGGCATTGGCAGTGATTTTGATAAACCATAAGAAAATTGGAAAGAGATTGGCACTTTGTTTTTTTCCCAGCCTAGCCTTTTAGACTGACAAAACCTAAATGAAGATAGGCCACAGTGGGCTGAATCTGGCAAAACCAAACCCCACGTGAAGATCGCATTCACTCCCTGCGTCTGTCGTGTACTCTGTGCGAAGCCACTCTCCACCCTGTGATGCTGCGAACAGCAATGTTCCACCTCGCCCCCCTCAGCGGCCTTGCCACAGTTAGGACATTCTTTCTTACACCCGAACAAAATCTCCTCCTGCTGGAACATAGCCTGCTTTCTCTATTTCTATCTGCTTTCTTTTTGGTTAACATCCTGCTTACAACAACCATTGCTGTATTTTAAAATAATTAAGCTCACCTCATTTTCTTGCTCTAGGCATTTGAACCGTATCTGTTCTTCCTTTGACCATTGCCAGTTTCTCTACATCGCTCTCAGAATATGGAAACACTTATTTTTTTAAAAAAGATTCAACATTATATAGCCAGTGAGCTCCTGGGCTAGCTAAATAATATCAGGTGATTTCTAATTTTGGCATAACTCTTCTTTTCTATAAATATTTCACATTCTGCATATATTCTTTAAAGAACAATTATAAACACTTATAAATTATAAATAGTATTTCATGGAGCATCAGCTGGCATCATCTGTTGATCCAAATTAAAGCCTTTCCAAACCTCATCATCTGGGAGGAAAAAATTGCATACCATGTGTATTGTTACATAACCGATTCCACAGTCAGAATTCTACTATTGGACCGATCAGTTTAAATAGCACAAGAACAGAGATATTTTTGCCAAGAATTTGTTTGGGGAAAGCAGCATCTTCTGTTGTTACAAAGTGTAAAATGCTATTTGAGGATTTATTATTGATTTATTCCCTAACCAGGGAAACCATGTGAGTGAATGGAGAGCTGTAAAGCTGGAAAAGACCTTGAGAGGTCAGAGGGTGCGTAAGGCATTTATGTGAATCATCTAAGACAGATGGTTGTCTCTTTCATTCTTAATAGTCTTTAGGAAAATTAATTTCAGGATTCCTTCATTCATCTCCTTAGCATCTTAAAACAATCTTTAGAATACAATTTGAACATTATTTTATGTTCTTTAATGCTTAACAAAAGAAAACTATGTCTTTTCTACCATTAAAGGAAAACATTGCTTAGGAGTGAGATAGCAGGCAGAGGGGGAGAAAAAAAGTCAAATAGTGCCTTTTGGTGCATTGGCTGTTTTTTTCTTTTGCAGATCATTACCCAGCTCAGGAAAGCCTGATGTTCCCTGTTCTCTCTATATGAAGGAGCTTCAGGGTTTCATTGCCAGAGTTATGAGTGACTACTTTAAACACTTTGAATGCGTGGATTTTGTCTTTGACAACACTGAAGCTATTGCCCGAAGAGCAATTGAACTTTTTATTCGCAATGCCAGTCTCATAAGACCTCTTGGTGAAGGTGGGAAAATGCGCCTTGCTGCTGATTTTGCACAGGTAAATTGATGCATAGTTACAAAGGGGGAAATGTTTCAGCCTCAATACTCTTTATTTAATGAGACTAACTGTGTATTCTTCAGTATTTTAAAGAGTTGAATCATGAAGTAAAGTAAATCTAAACCTAATTGGTTAAAAAGATAGGATATAAAGATACTTTCGTGCCAGATACTTTTCATTTGTTTTTAACAAAAGAATCATCACTCATCTTTGGTATTTCCATGTTAAGCTGAGGTAGCTCCTTCCACAGTAAAGCAGCATTTCCCATTTTTACATAATATGAGGCTTTGTCAACATTTTACAATCTCATCATATCAGTATTGATAAGAATAATTGATTTATCTTGCTGAAAAACAATGTAGGCGATTACATTTATCCTTTAAACGTTGGAAGGGGTGGTCTGTTGTCATGGAAAGAGAAAGAGCTCCAACACATTAGTGGCCCCTCCGCATTCCAGGCCAGGGTTCTGATTCATTTATGTGCACAGAGGACCAGGTTGATTATTTGATCTCTCTCGATTAAATAAGAGCACCCTTCTTGTGCAGTCAGCCTTGAGATCATTCCTCATGATCTGATGTGAAAGAAGTAAGATTCAGAAATGGGTAAGTCGTATTTACATAGCACGTCAAAGGTGAACTTATTTTTTAATCCTCTTAGAGCTGTTAGCTTTACTAAATAGTTTTTCAAATGGATTATTCATAGTGGCTTTGTCAGATCCTCCCTGTTTATAAAGACAGGCAAATTTTAATGTCCTTACTTATTCTTGTGTGTGTCTGGGAGCAAGTCTTGGTTCGTTATTCCCGCACAGAGAGAAGGACGTGGCAGTCCTCTGCTTGTACCGGTACCAGGGTGGTAGCCGTCAGGCAGTCCCTCATACCTGGTCGTTACAGTTAGGAGCAGGTTCATGTCCTAGTGTTTTGAGAGCTGGGCTCTTTGCATATTAATTGGTCTAGAATTAGTCATTTCATCCCTAAATGATATGTCCGAGACCACTAGGTCAGGGTACAGAGCCTTCCTTTGTGAAGTATGTCTTCAGTAGCCTCAGCATGAAAAAAGAAAGTCAGTGTTACTGTGAGTGAGGCTCCTTTGACCTTTCCCACTTTCATCAGCTTCATTCTCCGGCACCTGTACATTCTGTTGTTGCAGGTAAACGTCAGCTTAAAGAGGATTATGTAGTGTCTTACTTGTCCCTTCCTGGGGTTACAGGCTGCCTGTTAAAATGAAAACGCAGTGATGTACCAAGACCTGCTCTTAATTGTTAAAAACACTGAGCTGAGCTCAAATGGGTATCTGTTCTTCCTTTCCCCTTTCCTCCTTAGTTTTGTTTTTCTTTTCCAGTCCTCTTCTCTCCCCAGGGCTCCCTCCCCCACCGGTTTATTTGCATTCTGCTCCAGCTGGTTCTTGAGTCACTTTCCTGGAGGCAGCACTTCAAGTCCAATTAGAGTGGCAGCCGAGCAGGAGACGGCCAGAATGGGAGTGCTGGAGGGAACGGGCTTTTGGGCTTTGTCTTTTATTTTAATGATCTATTCCCTTATGAGTCTTGAAGGCTGCAGAGCAGTGTCCTGTGACCCTTGCTCCCGCAGCTGGCACCTGCTCAAAGTGCTAAGCATCCGGGGCAGGCTTGAGCTCCCATCTCCCTTAAAACTGTGCATTCAGGATTTTATTTGCCATTCTTTCTTTCTTAAGACATGTTACCCAATAAACCACACCTTTTCCCCGGTCCCTTTCCTTAAGATAAATGAAACTCATCAATCATTGTTACTAACTTGTGCTCCAAGGCAGCCTCTGTTTTCCATTTCTTATATATAGAAACTGCATTTATGCAAACAGCATTTACTTGGTGTTAAGACTGTATTTTCCAGCCCTGCAGTGACATTTGTTGTTCTATTCTATGTGGGGCCGATTCCTTTGTTCAGTCCTGGACAGTGTCCCAGTTTCAGGACATCCTGCCACTCACCGTGTAGATGGTTCCCCATCCCTGTAGGTCGTGGGCACAGGAAAGACAGGTAGCAGCACCTTCTGAAGTTAATCATGGTTGTGACTAGTAGCTTTGGCAAAGGTCATCCAGCTGTTATATCATTATCTTTAAAAAATTAGAGTCACTTTGGGGTTTTTGTTTCATTTGATGTAGTTTCTCGTCACAACTGCAGTTCTGTGATACTGCACCTCAGTTTTCATACTCATCCTTAGTTGGAAGCGTTTTCCTGGGGTGAGTCAGAACACTCAGATGGCATCACCCTGACATTTATATTCATGACAGGCATCAGCTGGGCCTAGAAAGCCTTTTTGCTGCCTCATTATCGAAAGTTCTATCAATTTGTATTCAAAATTAAAACAAAACCACTGAGGCCCCTGGAATCAAGAACACACAAATCCTCTGTGGGTTTGAAAAGAGTTCTTGTGATAAAAGCGCCTGCTCTTCTGGCATAAATAAGAGAAAGAGAAGCGCTCAGGAAGAGACCGGTGGAGTAGGTTTGGGAATGCTGATTATTTGGCATAACGTCCAGTTGCAAAGACAGACAATGATGTGTTTTGAAGACTTCTTTAGGACTCCTGACTTCTCCCGACTGGCACCGGTGCACAGGGAAAGAGAAAGTCATTGCAGGGTGCCATCTGGAGCGTTCATGGTGAGGGAAGTGCCCAGCGTACAGCCCACTGAGGAATCAGGTCACGGGCCTGAGGTGGTTTCCTCCTGGTAATTAATTCCCTACTGTGACCACATGGTCTCTGTGTTTACACTAATCACACAGCACTTCTAAAGCTCTAAGCTTGTCCAAGGCCGCTGGGGTGCTGCTGATTCCAAATCTCTCTGGGGACTGGTCCACACTGCCCTCTGAACCACACATTCCCCTCTGCCCCTCAATTTTGTTTCTTCCCTGAGGGAAAGCATGGCTTTTGAGGTTGGCAGTGGTACTCCAAGCAGTTTCTATTTATTTCTGGTTGCCCTTTAAATATACATTTATATTTATTTTGCTTTTTGCCTGAAAATAGAAATTTAGGGAAAAAAGCCCAAATAATCAAGATTCTAATTCCTGTTGCCTTTTCTCCTGAACAACGTCAGGGCGGGAGTGCCCTAGGAGGATCCAAAGATGCCCTGTGGTTAACCACATGTCCGTGGTGGGTCAGGAGCGGCTCTGTAATTAGTTCACCGTGCCTGCAGCAGCTGACTGCTCATTCCTTGCAAACAAGAGAGCAGGAGAGATGCAGGGGCGTGTGCCACTTTTGTATCCACAGCTAATTACAGAGTCACCTCCCTCTAAAAGGAACACTCCTGCCCGTTAGAAACATGGCCTCGTTTAATGGAATTCTGGTGGAAGAAAACGGTTTTTAGTGCCCTAGAGATCCTTTATGGATGAAAAATTTATTTTAAACATTTAACATTTTGAATTTGTGGCATAGAATCTCCTGCAATTTTCATCGCTTACACAGCCATTTGAGGTCGTGTTCTCTCATACCATAGTTTTTTCCCAGCCACTTACTCATTTTCACATTCAGTCCTGCTCAAGTGCCAAGGCAGAGGTTGTCTGGTTTAATCTTCAGTGATGATGAAGCCCACGAGGGTAATTGAAAAAGAAATTGACAAAAACATTTCATGAAAAATACCTCACGTAATTTCAGCATGTAAAAAACCATTATACACACACATGTGCACACACACAGTCATAGGTACGTGATAATCACATTTTTACTTTGTGCTCACTGTAAAATACATACATGTTCTGTAGGAAACCAGAACCTTCCATCAAGTGAATAAGCTACCCAGGTCCCCAGGAGCAGCGCACACCCCGTGTCTTGAGTTGAGAACACTGGCTCAAAGCTGCTCTCTTTTGCGTTGTTGGCAAGAATCTGACTTTTCTTCCTTAGATTTCTCTTTTTGTTTACTTATTCTTTTGTATATTAAAGAGTTTTCCAAGCATGTGAGATTTCCCTCTAGGACATACAGGGTGTACTCTGTGTCTTCTAAATGCTAAAGAGAGAAATCCACCAGTCGCAAGTCATCCTCGAGACCAGCTGAAGGAGGGAGGCTGCCCTCCAGTTCTCCCCTGACAGCCAGTTCATACATTTGGTATCACACTTGTCATTTGCTTAATAATAATCAGCATGTGTATATGTGTGTCTGTGTAGACACACACATACCTTCCTTGTAATTTGGGTAAATAAATATTAGATTGTTTAAATAGATATATGAATCCCCTTCTTCATGGAATTTGAGAGAGCTCCTTGAAGGCAGCTCAGTCTAGTTCATCTTCTCATCCCCGTGTCTGGCTTGGCGCCTGGCAACAGTGGGGAGTCAGAAGTGTTTCTCCAATGAGTGACTGATTAGGTCTCCCTGGCTTTGCGAGGGCGAGGAGATTTAAGCAGGAGCTTTTCAGAAGGATGGCCAGCAGGACGGAAGCCCCACGTTTCTCTTATATGTTTTTCTTGAAGAAAGATGCTGATTTAACAGGGAGCAGCCTTCTCTCAGACATTTTCTAAACTGTTCTTGACCAGGGTCCTGTTCGTAGCAAGAATGAAGAAAGGGTTTATCATCTGAATACCACATAGGCAAAAATTTTGCTTATGCAGTTGGTCAATAAAGAATAGGTAGCCTCAAACTCCAGTTCATGACAAGTAAGATTTCCAGTCAGAGGAGGGAAGTGAAGAGAGGTGGAAGCAGTCATTGCTCAGTTCTTCACCCAGGAAGCAAATTAATTTACTAAAAAGTATTAAAAGGGGGAAATTTAAAAAACACTGATAATGCCAACAGTTAACAAGCACTTACGTATGCCACGCACAGAGTGCTTTGTGGGGTTATCTATTTTATTTGCATAATTTTATGAAGTAGGTGTTATTTTCTCCACTTGACAAGTGAAGAACCTGTAGCTTAAAGAAGTTAAGTCCAGGGCCACGCAGCTAGTCCTTGTAGGGGTGGGATTCTGACACAGACGTGCTGCCTCCAGTCAGCAGTCTTTATCCCTCGAACTAGCTGGGTGAAAACTGTCATCATTTATATTTAATATAAAAAATCTTGTGATACTGCTAAAGAAAGTGCAGGCACACAGTCAGTCTTGAAAGCCTTTGTCTGATTTTTCAATGGAGGGAGAAAGTTCAGTCTTTCTCCTCTTACATAACAAATATTTTTCTGTTTTCTTGAAAGAATTACCTCATCTTATGCCCCTTTAGTAGATAAATGCAAAAATTATCTAAGTTCTTACCTTTTAATAAGTTTAACTGACTTTTAAAACTACCTCCCAGTGCAGGTAAGTTTACTGAAAGCTACAACTTTCTATGATCCAGGTTTATCCCCAATTCACCTTAGGATTCTGACATAAAAAGCTATGGCATATCTTTTAATATTTCAGATGGAGTTGGCTGTGGGTCCATTCTGCAGAAGAGTATCTGATTTAGGAAAGTCCTACCGAATGCTGAGATCATTCAGGTGAGACACAGTTCTGTTACCACTTTCAGATATCCATATCCTATTAGCAGATAAATCCTCTCCTATTCATGTTGAACTGTATGAAATTGCAGTCATTCAACCATTTTGTGATCTACAACAGTGGCAATTTCATATGGTTCATCTTAAAAGTTATTCAAACCAGAAACTTGTGTAAAATTTTATGAAATGACTAGTGAGTGTATGTGTATGTTATTTTTGAGTTACAGTTCACAGGATAGAACTGGTAAACTTTTTATTATGCTCTTTCTAGGGAGATTTTTTTTTAGTTCTCCATTCTTGCAGAAATATATTGAGTAGTAATACCAGGCAGTTCATAAGTATATAGACATCTTTTTCTGAAAAATGTGTTTGTTCATGTATCATTTCCAACCCAATCTACTTTTTTAAATGTCATAGGTTGCATTCCATAACAAAAGTGTTAAATAGAGTATAAGAAGGACTGAGTTTAGCGATGAAATGCAGGGAACACCTGTAAATGTAGTGAAAAATTGGGGCTAAAGATGGCTAGTGCAGTTGAGCACAAAATTTAGGATTGAGCTTCCTAGAAACCAGTTCAAAAAGAAAGACAATGAGTTAATTCAAACTCATGATCCAGTTTAACCAGAAAGTCCTTTTCAGTTCCAAATGCTTAGCTAGGCCTTTACTAACTCAAATGTTAAGGAATATTGAATAGCTTATGACTAGTGTCTTCAATATCAGATTTTAAAAGATAAGATGGTGTTCACATGGCTGGTTATTCAGTAAGCCAGACTTCTCAAACTTTTCAACATCATGACACACATAGAAAACGTATACACACAAAGATCACCAACCCTGAGGGCACAGGCGATCAGCATAATACTTATGACCGGTCTGTGACCACAGCACACCAGATGGGAACCCATGATGTAGACTGCCCATAATACCCAAGAGCATAATGGCTTCTGAATGTTTCTTCATAAAGATAGGAAAGAGCATCCAGGCATGTGGCTTTCTGTAAACAAGACTCAGTACGAGACACTAGAGTAATGAAGAAGCAGTGTGCTCTTTAAAGGGCTGCTTCACTCTCTTACGTCCCCAAGCTTTTGGTGGAAAATGCAGGTGTAATGTCACTTGAAATAGAAGAACCCAAGGTTTACAGATACAGAAAACAAACCTGTGGTTACCAGGGGGAAAGATGGGGTGGGCAGGGACAAACTGGGAGTCTGGGATTTGCAGTACTGACTACTATCTATAAAACAGATAAACAACAAGGTCCTACTGTGCAGCACAGGGAGCTGTTTTCAATACCTTCTAATGTCCTATAATGAAAAAGAATATATATGTATGTAGATCTGAATCACTGTGCTGTACACCGGAAACGAACAACATTGTAAACCGACTGACTGTACTTTAAAAAAAAACAAGCAAACCCAAGGTTGTTGATTGAAAGGGGAGGCCTATCCTTTACCTATTTGTAATTGGCAAAGATTTTTTTTTAATGCCAACACAAGAGCCTTAATTATTTTTCTCAAATGCCCATCTGTACAAAGTTGGGTTTCCAAAATACTTAAAGCGAGATCGTAAGTGTTTTCAGATACCTTCTTTGGATTAGCTCAAGCCTTTTATAAAGTATTTAAATATTTTGTTGAAGCCTTAGGGTTTGACACTACGAAATATGGACAAGTTGAAAGATTAAGAGGTCCTAAGGTTACCAGTCCACAAGTTATCTGGATGTACCATAAAAATAGCCTTAATAAAACTCTTATAAAGTCACTTACCTTAAGGCAATAACATGGCAATCCCAGTTGAGTGGTAGAAGGCAGCCCTGAGTAACAGAATCAGTTAGCGTGCTGCAGGATAGTAACCATCTAGTTATTTTTAAAGATATGGGAAAAGCTGTGATTTGGGATTTGCTATTTTAATTATTATTTTTTTTGATAGCCCTGGCTTCCGTGTTTAGTTGTTTATTCCACGTGCATGTATTAAAATAGTACTTATCTTCCTGTTCACTGAGGCAAGATGGCCTTTATCGAAGTGCTTTTAAAGTTGTGTCACAGAATGGAGATACAAGTTCTGAGGGTTTCACATGAAAGCAATTCTGTTTTAAGCCACTTAGGATTTTCTGTCACCCGTCCCAATTTTTACATGAGAAAAGAAATCTCTAAGGAAACATTTAAAGTTTGAATGGTGACACTTTCTAGTACCTGTTTATAGAAAAAAAATTAATAATTGGTTAGTGTATAATTTTTTAAAATCCTGCTTTTTATATCCAGCTTCTGTTATAGGGCAATGATCAGTCTAGGTGTGTTTCAGAATTCTGACCATGACTCGCAGTAAGACATCTTTTATGTTACAATCTGGCACATACTTACATGAAGACACACTCAGACCCCCGTGCACAGACAGATGCACACCCACATGTGTGCCACGAAACAGTAATTACTTCATGTGACGTTCTCTGTCATTTCTTTTTTATTAGATTATTTTAGCCCTTGAAATTGGCTTCATGACCCACTGTTTTGTGTCCAGTAGCTTCTTACCTTTCTCACAGGACCTTTAATTCTTGAACTTTAGCCACTCTAGTGACAGGGGCAAAGGTTTTTTCCTTTCTCCATCTGTAAAGACTTATGCCCTTTTCTCCTGGGATTCTGGCACTCCTGAGCTTCCTCCTGCAGACCTGTCAGCTCCCAAGGCCTCAGTACCTAGGTATATTATATAGGAA